AGATAAGGAAGCAATAGAGTGTAAAATAAAAGGGAAGTGATTAGTATTTGTTTGCTCACGCAGTGCTAATAAGAGAGCTGTTTCCATGCCCCGGAGATCAGGCCTGCACCAGAGAGCAGAAGTCAAGAGAAGCCACTGTGGAGTCTGGAACAGCATTAGAAAATCACATATTCACACACATGAATAAAGTCTACAGATATTTTGTGTGTGTTAAAACATGGCAGGATTGAAGCAGCCGGTGAGAAGTTCTGTCATTTCCTTTTTGCTCTTCTAAAGAAGGAAAGGAAGGAAAAGGAGGAACATAAGGTCTGGAGAGTCAACTGAACATCCCCATTTCTGCTGTGCAGGTGTATCATCAAGGAAAATTGTACAAAGGAATGTTGTATATACAGATGACATTAAGACGATACAATAATGAAATAAACAAGAGAGTTAGGCAAAGCAAGACAAGGAGAATAGATAGAAGTTTGGCAAAGCTAGACAAAGAGACAAGACAGGATGCTTACTTGTATCGTGGGCTCACTCAGGAAACTCCAATGAAGTGGATCTTCAGAAGAAAGATCCTTCCCCACTGGTGGTCAGCTCTTAAATGGGTCTAGGAGAGGTGGAGCCAGGCTCCACCCCTTCCTGCAGCACAGGTGATTTGCTTTCACCTGTGCTCCCTTGGCTGACTCATTGCTCGCCTCAGGTGATCAATCAGAGGTTCAGGCCGTGACTCAGCACTTCCCATACAGCAGGGAAGGTGTGGGAGGCTCTCAGTGGAAGCAGGAGAGGAGGACAGCAGCAGTAGCATGCTGCACTTCAGCCAGTGCCAGGGTTTGGTTAGAGCAGGGTCAGGGGTCATCCTGCATTGAGAGGGAAGCTGCCAGGCCTCCTGCATTGTATCAGTGGGTTTGTGTGGTTCCCAGGGCATGTTCTCCCATCTCTATATTATGAATCTGCAAAACAGGAGCCCTGAGCATCAGACATATCACCTTTGCCCAACCTATTGTCTTCCAGCCACCTGTCTGGCACAGAGAAATAGAGGATGGGGCAGGGCCACAGGATGATGTTTAGTAATGATTTATTGATGTGCTAAAATGAGAGATGATACAAGTTATGTTTGTATTGTATTTCTTACAAATTATTTTCCAGAGATCCAAGTTAAAAAACGTTTCTGATTGCTACTGGTATTAATGTTGTACTGCAAGGGCTGCCACTGTGTTCTGATAGATCTGGGTCACAGCCCAACAAAGGCAATCTCTAACACTGCAGATTTTCTTGTTGCTATGAAGTACGGCCATCCAGCATAGAATTAAGAATATCCTGAACTCCTCATTCATTGACAGTGCTGTGCTACAAGCCCAAAAGTGCCCCAGCCCATCCAGTACCAACTGTCTTTCTCAGCTGATACAGTGCGCAAGATCCGCTTGTAAAAAGGAATTACTCTGCAATTGCTTAGAAAGAAATAAAGCTGCTGATGAGCCCATAGCAGCCGGGGAGGGCTGCTTGTGGAACTGCTCCAAAGCCAAGAAGTTCCCCTCTCAAAAACAATGGCCACACTCCCTAGCGAGGCACTGCACAGATCTTGTAGGGCCGCGGGGCCAAGGTCATGCCTATCATGAATTTGAGGTCAAGGATGGTGTCTGGGGGAGCCTGGAAGGTGAATTTCTGGAGCAGAGCCGTGAAGAAGAGGAAGAGCTCGGCGCGGGCCAGCAGCTCACCCAGGCAGGCGCGCTTCCCTGCGGAGACAGCCGCCCAGCGCCCATTCAGCCCTGCTGGCTGCCCAGCTGCTTTCTCTGCTGAAAAGCCTCGGCACACGCCTCCTGCAGGAACATCACCCTGCCCACATCCCCATGCCCACCTTACATTTCCAGCACCAGGACTGCCATCCCAGCTGAGCTCCCCACAGAGCTGTAGCATGGTCTGCCCCCAGCTGGGCACGTGCATGTAAATGTATATGCACACATTTTATCCTACCCTGCTGAGATGAGCAGTGCTTCACCTGCAGTCCCCACATACCCACCAGCGCTCCAAGGAATGGAACCAAAGCACCAGAGAAAGTGTGCCACATTTGGGGAGGAAACTGGAGATGCTCAAAGGACTCTCCACAAGGAAGCCGCTGGCTAGGATAGGGCACCCTGTGGTGGTGGCAAAACCCATTGAACTCAATTGTGTGGGACCAGCAGCAAAAGCATTCCTCTTGCATTTCTGAATGCATATCTGGGACATTTTTGTAGTCTCCCTTGTTTGCAAACAAAGGCCTAAGAGGTGGTGGAGGTGGTTCTTTGAGTTGCCTGCATGGTCATTGATAAGGAAGGGTCTAGTTTGCACTGATAAGGGCAGTGGGCAAGTAGCACTTCCCCATTCTGAAGTGAGTGTCTGCATTTTCCATCACTGTTTAGCTCAGGGTCTCCCTTGTGCAGCTGGATGCCCCATCCCAGTGCTTCAGCACAGTAACATCAAACTGCTGCTTATCTTACCTATAGAAAATGGCATAAACGCCTCCCTTTTCCTGAACTTCCCGTCCTTCAAGAAATGCCCAGGGTTAAAACTGTGAGGTGTTTCCCATTCTTTCTTGTCATACATCACAGAGGATAGGTTTGCAATCAAAACAGAGCCCTGGTACAAGAAAAAGAAAATCACTTTGCACACTCTCTGCCACTTCCAAGAGGAGCAGTTTTTTTTACCCGTCAAAGTGCCCGCCATGAAGAGCATCCATAGTCAAATCAGACAAGCACGTGTTCCAATCATTTTATGTGGCCATGTTTGCCTTCTCCTTGACTACTTAGATATGCAGTGTGTATATATCCACACTTTTCTCTCATTAAAATTACTATACCTAAAAATTAATCTACCAAAAAGCTGCATGCTGAGGGCTCTGTCCCTCCCTGCTATGCACGGATGCCGCACCTCATGGCATTCACCCTGGGCACGGAGAATGCAGTGTGCTGGAGAGCAGTGTTGGGTGAGCAAAACAACATGATCCACAGCAGTGACCTCTGTGAGAGGCAGCAATGCTGCATCGCTGCTCCTGCAGCACTGCGGAGATGGAAGTCTCCTGCTCAGACCTCACTGATCCAAATTAGGTTTACCTTGGGCACCCGGAAACCAGCCAGGACTGTGTCCTTCATTGCCTGTCTCGGCACGTTGACAGGAATGATGTTGCCTTTCCTCTGCACTTCATGGATGACAGCGTTGGTGTAGGGCATCTTGTTCCTGTCCTCCAGGGCTGGCTGCCGTGTCTGCCCAATGACAGCATCGATCTCGGCTTGCACACGGGCTGTTTGGAAAGAGCAGAGATCAGCTATGGTACAGCAAAGCCATAGAAGCCCGAGGGACACCATGACATTTTTACTGTGAGGGTCCCCCAAGGAGCATCCCAGGGCAATCATGTGCCACCAAGGGACTTCAGGCACCTCTCTGCATGTTCATCACTCCAGACACTAAATGGACCCTTCGCAGAGCCCCTGTTGCCTTTGCTGGACAGCCCACAGTGGTCTCCAGTGCTTGTGGGGCATATGGGTACATTTGCCTCTTCCTCCCATGAAAAAGAATAATAAAATCACAAGGACAAGTTTTAAAACATTGAAGGGAAACACTTGAAAACAAAATAAAGTACTTGCACTGAATCTGTTGGAGAACAGACTATTTCCACTTTTTTCTTTCAACTCGGATAAACCCTCACCGAGCTACAAGGGCTAAAAATAGGAAACAGACAGCCCTGTTGCTACTTGTACCTTGAATGTCTGGATATATGGCCATAAACAGCAGGGCCCAGCGGATGGTTGTGGAGGTGGTCTCAGTCCCAGCAAAAAACAAGTCGAGAGTGCACGCAACCAGGTTATCCTCACAGAAATCACTGCCATTGGGCTTCAGAAAATCAAGTGTTAGTGCTACGTTAAAAAAAAGAACTTCCTCAAAATCAGATTCAGTCCTTCCCCAGGAGTTTTGCTAGAAGCTGCAGGCCCTCTGCATCCCCATCCCTCCAATGAATGCCCCAAACCTGATGTCCATCCCGAGCTCACATATGGACACACCAGCAGCTCAGGTGTGGAATTTGGTTTGCTTCTCAGCCCTCCTGATCTCCATTACCCACTGGGGAAGGGCTTGCTCCACACTGCTGACCTTGGCCATCTCCTGCAGGTAGCTGTCAATGAAGTCTCGGCTCTCTGAGAGGTTCAGGTCTTCCTTATGTTTGCTGATCTTTTCACACACAAACCTTTTCATGAGCCTTCCATTTTTCAAAATGGTTTGGTGGGATCCAGGGAAGTACTTCATTATGGAAGGAAAAAAGACGTACAGCTTTGGAAAGAAAGAGAGAAGAGCAAATTCAAGAAAGGACTGAAAAACCCCTTCTATTCTTAGAACTTGATTGGATATTTCCGCATGGAGCCAGGAACTGGACTTGAGTGCCCTAGTGAATTTTTCCCAACTTGACATAATTTATGAAGCTAAGAAAGTGCTTGAGTTTTTGCAGTTGACTTCAGAGAAGAAACAATAGCCTTTCAAGTCTGTGCGCTACTTGGGCTGCAGCAGGAGGGCTGTACCTGGCTCATTATCTTCCCTTGGAGGGTAACAATCTCATCCATCATCCGCAGCAACTTTTGGAAGTCCTCATCATGGTATTCAAACCGATTGCCAAAGGTGACAGAGCAGATGATGTTTGAAACAGCATTGTTGATCTTAAGGTGAGGGTTGAAAGGATTTCCTGGAGATGGAAAAGGGAACAATCAATTCTCTTCTTGACTCCACAGAAAAAAAGGGGAAGAAAGCACCATCATCAGAGGGAAAATAGTCAGCATGTGACATCAATGATCCTTCGTGGAGCACCTTCATGGAGATGGTTGTTTATTTTGGAAAGAAAGATTTGAAATGGCTTCAGAAAAGCAAACACCATAGGAATTAATTATGAACACTGGTGCTGACAGGCCCATGATATTTGCTAGAGGTCTCAAATTCAGCAATCTGACAAAGGTGGGGCAAGAATACTGTTTTGAGTGTTACACAGCTATCTATCAGTTAGCCTGAGGGCAAAACACCTGTAGAGGAGACTGGGATGCTGGCATGTTACCAGCATTGCTTGTGAGACAAGGAGAAAGAAGATGTTGGTGTGTTAGTTGGCAGCTGGCTGAAGGTGAGCCAGCAGTGTGCCCACATGGCCAAGAAGGCAAA